ATATATATATATATATAGCAATCAAACCTTACCAATGATGTGCTGCCACATCCATGCAGTTCTGACTCAAAGATGAGCACTTGAGCAGAAGAATCCTCTCCAGTTGCGGTACAGCCTCCCAGTGTAAAAGCAGAGGGCATTAGTAGCTGTCCAGTGCCAAAGAAGTCTTTCAACACTTCCACATATATTGAATTCTACCTGCATTGAGCCGCTACACTGTTGGCAGGGACAGGATAGCACAACTCAAAAGGAACATCTGGCTGTGGTTCTTCTGGTAGGCTTGGAAAACTCCATGTCAGTTTTTGCACTGGACCCAGCAACAGCTCTTTTGACTGAACACCTAAAAGATCTTGAGAAGGCTTTCCAAATTCACTCCTGGCTGGTGTCTGGACAGGAAATGGAGCAGGAAACCTTTGGCGTGCAAATACAGGGTTACTGTGGTCAAATCTCTGGGGAACCTGAGGGATCCTGTTTTCAAACAGTTTAGGAACTGAGGACTGATTAGGTGTTGATCTTCTTTGCCCTTGTGCTTCAGACAAGCAAAATGCAAGAATAAACACCAATCCAAAACAAATGTGCCTCATCTCCATAGTCAAAAACCTTCAGATCCTTAAAGCTGATCCTTGATCGTTTCCTTTATGTATAGTAGCTAGATAAGCTTGGTTCCACCTCTCTAGCATCACGCATAATCGTTGCCTGGATTGCTTGTGTTCTTAAATGACATTTATAAACAACTTTGATTAATATAATCATAGCAATTAAGTCAAAACTTTAGACTCAACTTGCCTAAAGAAATGTTTCAAACTAATTCATTATTGTGCACTTTAATTCACATTATGAATACTTAATATAATATACTGAACATACTAAAATACAAAAAATGTCATTCTTCAAGCCATGTTATTCTCCCCACAGAAGTAAATAAATACGTTTCAAACTTTTAAAAAGCAAATGATTGTTTCAATACAATTTTGCAGTTTGTTTCTAATTTTAATGAATCATTCATGTTGCATTCAGAAAAAAAAATTCAGTCACTGGATGCAATGATCATATAAGTGTATATACATAGCATCGCTGTTCAAATGCTCAATGTTGGAACACAGATATATTAGAAATTGTATGCTTAAGGCTTATTATATAAAATCATACCATTACATATAAGAATATTTACCATACATCGTAGAACAACTGACTTGTCATGAATTAAATTACATAGATGAACCATATTTACAAGTCAAACGTTAACTAACCTACAATACACTCAACCTCCAAATGGCAGAATATATCATAAGGATTTAGTAACTGATAGCATTAAAAGGTTAGTTCACCCAAAAATGAAAATTAGCCTGTGTTTTACTTACCCTCAAAGCATCCTAGGCAGGGCCGTGCACAGGGGGGTGGCCCGGTGGCTAGAGCCACTGCCCCTTTGCCCTCGTCAGCTGAGTTGCTGCTCACGATCTGTGTGCTGCTCTCTGGAGTGGAGACCACAGTTCCCAATGTCGTTGCATTAACAGGTATATGCATTACACATTACAGTCAGTGGATGATTCAATGAATTAGTAATTTGGTAGTTTGTTTTTGTATTTCTGTCGGTAATGATTTGCTCTCGGTCTTTTAAAAGTGATAACAACAAAATATCCACGTTCTTAAAATTAGAATGTCTAATCAAATTATTGTACCCAAACATTTCTAATATAAATAACACAAAATTCGCTGTTGTTGACACACTTTGTAGACCAAAAAAATGCCTTCGCAAAAAAGAAGACGGAGACGGAGAGAAAGAGCGAAGGGAGGCTGCTAAAGGCAGTTCAACATTGTAAACATTAATACAAAGCTCCAGCAAGCCAGCAGGTAAATCATCATATAGAGTATTTAGCAGTTTGTCGCACTTTAATTCTTGTAATTAAGTATATTTCCCATTATAATCCCTTGTCTTAAAGGTGACATATTATGCCCCTTTTTACAATATTTAATATAAGTCTCTGGTGTCCACAGAATGTGTCTTTGAAGTTTCAGCTCAAAATACTCCACAGATCATTTATTATATAATTTTTAAAATGCCTATTTTGAGTGGAAGCAGAAACAGCTCTTTTTCGGGCCTGTGTCTTTAAATGCAAATGAGCTGCTGCTCCCCGCCCCCTTTTCCAGAATAGAGCTGCGCCTTTACA